GGGCTCTGCTAGTGTCTAGCTGTGGAACTTTAGGCAAGTGATCCGACATCTCTGTGCTTCAGTGTCCTCACTTGTAAAAAGGAGGTAATGTTTGTACCTCCCTACAGGGAGGCTGCAAAGATAAAATGAGTTCCTGTCATTAAAGTTCTTGGACCTGTGCCTGGCCCTCATCTACTGTGGAAAGACGATGAGCTTCTTCCCATTAGGAATAAGGATGGATAGGGCCGGCCCGGTGGCGCACTCAGTAGAGTGTGGCGCTTAGGAGCGCGGCGGCGCTCCCGCCGAGGGTTCAGATCCCATATAGAGACCGGTCCGCGGTGCAGGTGCGACACCAGGGTTGCGATCCCGTTACCGGTCACGAATAAAAGACAAAATGGAAAAAAAAAAATAGGAAGAAGGATGGATGGATAGATGGATAGATAGATAGACAGATAGATGAGTTGCTCCTCAATTGGTGCTGAATGATAATTGTAGCTAATCTCTGTACATAAAAGAGCCAGGCTTTCCAACATTAGCAGTAAACATATAGTTGAAAATAAATGATCATCATAATTATTCTTTTCACTGAAAGGAAGTCAATCTAAAGCCAAATGTAGGGATGAATTTGGCAAAAACCCAAGCCAAATGAAATACTGGTTCAGAGAATAGTCTTACGTTGTGACTTTGTCTGGCCTAACAAAGTTTTAGTTTTAAAATAATGGCCCAAATAATTCTGAGTGTTTTCTCACAAATGATTGCAGATAGAGTCCAAAATAAAATTTTCACAGATTTTCTGAATATTGAGTCAAATTCGATTTATTCTGGACTTTTATTTCAGTTCCTGGTGCTTGTAACTTTTCTTTGATTCTTATCCCAGCTAAGTTGTCCTTAAAGAATTGATAGGGGCCCTTCTCCTACCTTTGAAAATTTTTTATTCAAATATAATAAAAACATAGACAAGTGTACAGATCATAAGCATACAAGTAAATGAATTTTTGGAAACTGATCGCGACTGCGGAATTAGCACCCAGATCAAGAAATGGAACTTACCAGCACCTCGGAAGCCCACTCCATGCCTCCATCAAGTCATTACTCACCCTCCAAGAGCAACCTCTATCCCGACTTTTAACTACATAGTTTAGTGTATTCATTGGCCATTGCTGCATAACAAACCACCACAAAACTTCAGGGTTTTATCATTCGCTCACCTGGGGTGGTCATATAGGCAGCTCTGCTCATCTTGGCTGGGTCTCTGTGGCTAGGGTAGGGACAGCTCTGCTCCAGCAGGTTGGCCGGTGCTCAGCCATGGTGATGGCAGAGGATTAGAGAACAAGCAGAAGTAGGCAAGACTCCTGTGTGCTCAAGACGGGATCTGATAGAGCCAACATTACAGTGAGGCTAGAAAAGTGATGACTCAAGTGCAGGGTCAGCTACTATCTTTACTGAAAATGTTGACACTTTGTTCACCATAGTTATTTTTTGTATTTTTAAAAAGCATTTTTAAAACATTGCATTAAAATATTATTTCTCTTGGTTACTGAGGTTTTTGGTGCCACCTTAATTTTATGGCTGGGGCAAGTGCCTTCATTGTCTCCCCACTGTCCTGACCCTGCTGAAGTCACTGCATATTTTTAGTGTAAGCTGCTGCATGGCAAAGGGCATGGATATCAGGAGAGATGAAGAATCAGAGCTCTTAATACAGTCTACCATAATTCATTTTGGCCATTTTTGAGCTTTATATAAATGGAATTGTACACTATGTATTCCTTTGAGTCTGGCTTCTTTCTCTTAACACTACGTTTGTGAAATGCATTTATAGTGCTGTGTGTAGCTGTAAACCATTCATTCTCATTGCGGTATAGAACCCCACTGTGCAAAGACACCACCATGTCGATGGGCATTCAGATAATTCTCATTCAGAGCTATTAGGAATAGTGCTGCTGTGAACAATCTAGTGTAAGTTTCTGCTAAATACATATGCATTTTTGTTGGGCATATAGCTAGGAGTGAAATTGCTGCGTCAGAGGGTGTGCCTCTGTTTTTAGCAGATCCTGCCAGTTTCCCAACAACTGGTTTCTTTACTTTTATTGAAAGTCTTGTTATCTGGTAGCGTAACTCTTCTAGTTTTGTTTGCTTTTTTTCAAAATTGTTTGGCTATTCTTGGCTCTTTGCATTTCTACACGAATTTTACAAGTAGCCTGTTAATTTCCACAGAAGAAAAAACATGCTGGGATTTTTACTGGGTTTGCTTTGAATCTAGAGACTAATCTGGGGAGAATTGACATCTTTACGACATGCCTCCGCGTTGTCTTAAATTTTTCTCACTGTCTCATACCTTTGTATATCTACTTTGAATAATATAGATAGACAATAAATACATAAAATATGTGGCTAATTAATGCATTAGTTGTACGAGGCTTTAGAAAGAATGACATTTGTCAGCCACACTGCACCTCTCAGACACCTGAGCTTGTTTTCTTCCATTCCCGTGGGCCTTGCATGAGCTCTTCCTTCACTCAGGTGGAATTTCCTTCCTGCCCTCTCTCCCTCCTGCCAGACAAGAGCTAATCTTACTTGACAACTCAATTCAAATTTACTACTCTACGAAGTGGCTCTTTGTGGTCTCCCACTGCATTCTTTTACCTAATTTTAAATGACCACATCATATTGGGATGAGCAGTTCAGGCACCCACTAAACACTTGGGTGCCAACCAGCACCCAAGAACCAGCCCAGCACTAAGTGGATTTGTGTTGGATAAATGAAAATGTCCATTCCACTTTTTGTTGGGTTGTTTGGTGTAGGTGGTTTGTTAATTGGTTTCTTTCATCTTTGTGGGACTTCAGTTAGATTTAAGTTAGTAAAAAAAAAAAAAAATTTAATGTTAAACTTTGGCAAAGTGGTACATGTCAATCTTATTTGTTTTACTGAAACATGATTGTACGTGTTTGTGGAGTACAGAGCTGAATATCAATACTTGTGTACAATATGTGATGATCAAATCAGGATAATTAGCATATTCATAATTACAGAACCTAAGCATTGTTTGCTTCACAATTCACTTAGCTTTGAAAATATTCATTTACATTCGACCTCTTTACAATAAGGATTTGAAGCAGATACATTGTTTGGTCTGGTTCACATCACAGCTTCTAAGTTCGTTTAAAAGAAAACCCTCGACAATTTTTTTTAGCTACCAATAACAGGAGATCTCATGGAAAGGCCTGAGCCTTTTCATGCCGCTAGGTGGCAGTTTCACTCTCTGTAGAATCAGCTTGACGATGTCAGGCTCGGCATGCAGGAAGTCTGGGGTAGGCAAGCTAGACCCTGGGGGAAAGCCTATCAGGGCCTCGTGGTGGAAAAATGAAGGCCCAAACCACCCTGAAGAAAATGGAGTTATGGGGAAAACAGCACGTGGAAAACTGAAAGGAATGCCATTAGACATTATTTCACTGAAAGTTTAGCAAAAATCTAAATTAACCACAACCACAAAATCAGTAAGTAAACATGTGCAGGACCAGAGACAGGTCAGACAGTGTTGAAAGACAAAAGAGTCTCCTGTCCACCCTCGGCAGCTGGAGCGCTGCCCTCTAAGGTAAAGGAGAGGGGAGCGGGTGTGGGCATGTTGCCCGCTGCCTGGCAGAGCTGAGCCCCTGGCAATGTGCTTGAACTCTCTCGTGAGGAAGGAGATTTAGAGGCTCTAGACAGCACTGGCAGGGGCTCCATCCAATTGTTTTTGACTGAAACTTCTGCCTACCCTAAAATTATGGAAGGACCTTGTCAAAGCTTTGCTCTGCATTTCAGAGGGTGGGGGCAGAGAACATTTATTAATCACCTATTCTGTGTAAGGAACTTGATAGATATTATTTTACATAATCCTCATAACTTTATGAATTTGGTAACATTATCTGCATCTTACAGATAAGAAACCTGAAGCTCAGAACGAGTATGCATCTCATCCAAGGCCACCACGTAAGAGATTAAGGACTAAAACCCGGCACTCTGGCTGTTGCATGACCCCAGGCTGATTCCCAAACAATCCCACCTTCCTCTCCTGGGGATAATGACAGCATCTCCCTCCAGAGCTGCTGTGGGATGAAAGGAGATGAAGCACATAGAGAGTCTGCCACTGAGTCAGGGGTGCCGTCAGCACTCAGTAGCGGAGGGCTCGTTAGCAGATGTGCAAGGTCCGTCCTCACCAAGGCCCTCCAAGCTGGAAGCGGCAGCCACTTTCTGCAGAGTCTCAGAAAAGACACAGTGGCCTATGGATGGGCCTCACTATTTTGCCCATGTTGACATCACCTAAAAATGACTTCCTCACTACCCGAAGAGGAACCTGTCAGAGGTCCTGGTGGAAGGGAACCAAGTCAGGGGTTGGTGGCTAACCCTAAATAACTGACCTCAGGTCTCTCGAGTCCAAAACTGGTTGGTTCTCCTCTTCTGAGTAACCTCAGAAGGAACCCTGAGGGGCTCTGTTTAGTCTTTCTAGTTCCACTTCCAAGTTGGATATTGGACTTTCCAGGCCCAGAGTGTAAATCAGACTAGGACTTATCTCCATAGAAAGCTGAGGTGGCTCCTGTAATAGCCAATCCAGACGTTTCATGCATCCATCCCCAACAGGCCACCCATGGACCCTGAGAAAACTGATTACACAATAAACCTTAAGGAGGCTACAGGCTGAAAGCATCAATGATCTGTCAGGATTGGATTTTTTTTAATGCCACAAATTCCTTCTGGCCTAGAATAGGGAAACTGAGGCCCAGAGAAAGCCAAGGCCAAAGTAAATCCAACCTGCATGAACAAGAAGAGTGCTGAGCCCTCAGATAGGTCTGAGAAGACAGACACCCTGGGAAAGCAGTCCTGCTTGTCGTCCTGGTTGTCACAACATGACAACCATCCACTTGTAAGCAGTGCTCGGGTTTTAATTTTAGCACACAAAGAACTTGAGTAATCAAATTACCTGTTCTTTTTTCTTCCTCTGCTACCAACCCCACAAAAACTGCTAAGAACAAAGACACTCATGCTAGACCAGACCAGTAGATGCAAAGGACACCACAGCAGCTGCGAGATAGTGGCCACTAGAGATGGCAGTACACGTGGACAGGACGGGCTTCTTTACCTCCCCTGCTGGAGTGAGAGTTATAAGCAGACTGCAGAGGAGAGGGGTAGGAAGGTTTTAAAGAAGAACTAATGAGAAGCAATGTGTAGCTTCTCCCCTGACCCCCTCACCACCTCCACTGTCAACCCTCAGGCCTTGTCTGGCGTGGGGCTGTGGGGAGGAAGGAACTGAGTAGGACGCCCCACAGAGGACCCAAGGACAGACTGGCATGCTCTCCCCCAGTGGGGTTTCCTGACTGCAGCCCCCACAGACATGGCTGCCACGGTCCTGGGGAGGAAGGAAGTAGCGAAAGGGCAGGGCTCGGTCAGCTGAGAGAGGCTGGAAGCCACTTCCGGGCTTCCCTTGAAGCCAAGTTTTGTAATGGAGGAGATCCGTGAGTTTCCTGGGTCCCAGTGTGGTCTGAACACAATAATGGGAACTTGAGACAATTTGCTGGCCCCAGGAGGACATGTGGATGAAAGAAGAGGAGCACCTTCTCTTGGATTTTAATCCCCAATCTCTTATGTGGGGCCTTGGATAAGATATATACTCGCTCTGACCCTCAGGTTTCTTATCTGTAATATGGAGATAGCATTGCCTAATTCCCAAAGTTATTATGGGGATTAAATGAAATAAAACTTTCCGAGTTCCTTGCACAGAACTGGTAACTAGTAAATGGGGATGGGTGGATACCACCTGCCTGGGGTGAAGCCCTGTGTGCTTCCTAAGAAGACTGGCCTCCAGCAACACCTATGCCAGGGCCAGGCTGGGTGGTGATGCCAGCAGCAGACACCATCAGAGGACAAAACCCAGAGGTGCCAGGAAGCACATGGGACCGGAAGGAAGGACGCCCTCCCCACCACCAGCACACAGCCAACCACGAAAAAGGACTTCTCCACCAAGGAGAAGGGACACCAAGGAAAGCAGGGACACCAGAGGTGAGAAAATCATGCTCACTTATAAAATATATTTCATTTTCTAGCCATTTGTATTAGTTTTCTATTGCTGCTGTAACAAATTACCATAACTTTAGCATCTGAAACACACATCTATTATCTCTTAGATCTGTGGGCCAGCAGTCCCATGGGGTGCACAGGACTAAATTCAAGGTGTTGATAGGACTGTGTTCCTTAGAGGAGGCTCTAGGGGACTATTTCTTTGCTCATTCAGGCATTGGCAGGGCCATAGGGTTGTAGGACTGAGGTCCCTGTTTCCTTGCCAACAGGCAGCTGGGGCCACCCTTACATTCCCTTACATACTCTCTTTCTGGTCCTTGCACGTAACCCTATAAATCTCAGAACCAGCGACGGGGCGTCAAATCCCTCCCTCACTGCCATCTCTTTGAGCTTCTTCCATGGACACATTTCTCTCTCTGCCCCCAGGGAAGGTTCTCTGTTCTTAAGAATTAGATTGGGCCCGTCCAGATAGTCCAGGATAACCTCTCAATCTCAAAGTCACTAACGTTAATCACACTTGCAAAATCCCTTTTGCCATGTAAGTTACCACATTCACAGGTTCTGGGGATTAGGATGTGAACATCTTTTGAGGGCCATTATTCTGCCTACCACACCATTATATATCAACAAGTATTTATTTATATCTTAATCTGCCAGGTACAGTGCTAGGCACTGATTTGTCAGTATCAGGGGCTTTGGGAGGGTGAGGGGGTGCCACACACTGGGACATCTGACTTAGGGCTCCTTTGCAGTAGTCCAGGCAGCTCCATTTATATAAAATACAGTGTGGATTATAAACCCCACCTGCCCTTGAACCTCTTTGACTCCTCAACCTTCACCCCTGAGTGATGCAGGCTGCAGCTCTGGGCTGGAATTACTGCAGGTCTCTGGACGGATCACTCCAGTTCCCTGGGAAGCAGGGGCTAAGTTCACCAGGAGACTGAGTCAGGGACCCTGCTTGATCCAGGTTCAGCCGTAGCAGAGAGAGAAACAAGAACAAGGTGGGAATCGCAGCATCCCAGGAGGCCCCTGTACACAGATGCTGCCCCTGCCCTCTACCATGTTTTCTGACCTGGTTTCACTGTCCCCCAGGGGACTAGAGAGGGAAATGCCCAAGTCCTCTTGGGCCCTTTATACCTCCATATCATAAAAGAGAGATGGGGAGAGGGTAGAGAAAGGTTGGTTTCTCACAAACTGAAGCTCCTTCCGGCCCAGGCTCCCTGGGCTACATTGTGCAGCTCCAGGGCTCATGAGAGCCACCGGCTTGCTGTTTTTTTCTCAACCACAAAGATGGTGAGTCAGCACAGTGGTTAGCTGTCAGCTGGGAGGCCGCAGCCCTCAGCAGAGCTCCAGGAGGGGCAGCCTTCTGATGGGCTCGGCCATGATCCTGCCCCCACGTTGCTTCCAGTCCCAGGCCTCCCTGGATTGGTGGGCATCTTGGCCACGAGTCATCCTGCTGAGTGTCACACTTCCCAGAGCCATGGCATGAGAGGTGAGGGATAAACCAGAAAGGAAGTCATCGGCCCAGTCTGACATGCACAGGCTGGCATTTGGCCAACACAACTCAGGCTCTCTGCTCCGGGCCAAACTCAAAATAGAGGGAGAGGGTAGGCTGCTCCGCCTTCCTCAGCCGGGGTCCAGCCACAGTCCACACCACAGCATCACATCCTGGCCAGCCAGACCTCCAGCGGCAGGAGCACCTCCAGGAGCAGCTCCAGGCAGGGGTGCTCGATGCCCCGTAGGTAAAGGGTCAGCACTCTTCAACCACAAAACCCAACATGCCAGCTGTGGTTGGCACTTCTCCTCCTACCACTTAAAATTTGCTGGCAAGGGAGGCTGTCAAGAAGTGATTCCCCACAAACGCAGCATTCCTTTTTTATCTTTCCTGCGTGCTTCTTCAGGGCTAAGTCACTGACAGTAGCCCTGAGCGACGCAAAACAAGGTGGCAGCAAGGAGGAAACATGTCAATGGAAACAAGCTCCTGATGACATCTGTGTGGCTTGGAAGATGAGTCTCACTCTAAAGACAGCACCTGTCAGGTCTGGATCACTCCGTCCAGTAGGTCTTACACACTGTGCCCTGGTTTTCTTTTTAAGGACATCAGCCTCCGGGTATGGCCAGGAGGGAGTTTTCCTCTTTGATCTTCCCCCAAAGAGCACCATTACAGTGACCAGAATAATAAATGTCTCTAATCATGTGCAAACTTTAGCTTTAGTAATGGGGTATGACACAGAACTCTGCTGCTGCTGCTGCTGCTACTGATAAGAAAGGCACAAGACTATTTGACCTTCTGCAGCCTCAGACTGCTGGTTACATGTAGATGTAGCTTCTGTTACCAAAGTTACATAATTTCCCTCTTGTTCTTGATCCAGTTTTAGTAAAACTTCCCTGGAAAGGACTTTGCACCTTCTTAAAATATCCCAGCTTCCCCCATTTCAGCCTCAGTGGCTTCATAGTCTGAACCCCAGAAACAAGTTAATAGTTCAACTATCCAACAAGCTTTTACATCAAAGGGATTGCAGATCCTCAACCTGGAATGACAGAATCCTTGGCACCCCCCTTTCTGTACCCCTCAAAAGTTGCCTACATCATCTCAACCATCCACCTTTTGGGAAGTTAGGAGCAAAGTCCCACTTCCTTTTCATAGGGAATAGCTCCGGTCCTAGACCCAGTGTCTTTACTGGGGATGTAAGCTAATGATTTTGAGCACACGAAATCAATAGCAACAGTAAAGTCACATGTTGCGGAATGTCTTCAACTCAGAGAGAGCTCACTGGCCGAGAGCGTTTGTGATGTTGTGGGCCGTCTGGGGATGCCCAGAACATGGAGCCCTGCTAGCTCTTGCTGCCTGAGGGTAGCAGACAGCTCTTGGAGCATGGGGAAAGATTTCTACATGCTGTCAGGAAGATGTAGATTCATGTTTAAAATATTTCAGAACACATCAGAATTATAATGTCACTAAGGGTCATGTTAAAATGGATGTCCCTGTCTTTAGAGTTGAAGATAAAATCCTTTCAGGTGAACAGGTGGAGCTGGGCAATGCATGCTCTGGGCAAACAAGGACATCTGGGAAATTTCTCAACTGTTACACTACCATTTAGGAACCCTTAACATAGGTGTCCAGTCACGTCCTGGGATTGGCCTAAGTTCCACGTGTGCCCTCGGAATGGGCTTGGGCCCTGCTCTGCTCCAGCCCACTAGCCTTCCCACTGGTCCTCCAACACCCCAAGTTTTCCCCCACCTCGGAGGCCTTACCTGTTGTTCCCTCCACCTAGAACATCCCTCCGCAGCTTCCTCCTGGCCAGGCCCCTCTCACCTGTCGGGCATCAGCTCAAACATCTCCCCTCAGAGAGGCCTTCCCTGACACCCTCTCTGAAGTAGCCCACCCACCCCAAGGACTTGCATTCCTCTCTTCTTTTCTTCTTGTCACTGTCTGACATGATCTTAGACGTGGTTTGCTTGTTGTTTGCTGTCTTGTGTCACTCTGCACGAGGGTGAGCTCCATGAGGCAGGCGTCCGTCAGTCTCAGCTGCTGCTGTGTCCCAGGGCTCCGAAGGTGCCTGGCAAACACCAATAAACATGGGCTGAAGAAATATGGAAAGGCATGCTCAGACTAAATGTTTGATGGGCTGGGAATTCCTGGAGGAGGTCAGACTGGAGGGAAGGAGCGAGGTAACTGGACTGTCGGGGACATCCCACAGGGACAAGGACTCTGGAGGAGAGGGCGGGACCATGCAGCCGATGGAATGGCTGTTCAGGGTCAAGTAAAGGCTACGTATGTCATTCCCATCGCCACCCAGGAAGAAGAGCACTAAAGTGTAAAATTACGAGGGCCCTGCAAGCCCATGTTGGAAATCTTTTGGAAAAATCTAATTTCCAGAGAGCCTCCATGAAGATCTCTGGGAAGCGAGACACTGGATGCTGGACTCCTACACCTGCAGAGAGCCCTGCCCAAGAGTAACTATCAGGGAGCACAATATAAGTGAGCCAGAAAAGCTGTTTGGATTTCCCCCCTGCTGGATAGTGAGCTGTAAAGCCAACTAGAGGCCAGGGGGATCAAGAGAGCTTATTTAGTTACTTATTTAATTGGATATGTCAGATGTTTATTTTTAATGGTACATATTTAAGGTATGCAACATGATGTTTTGATATACATATACATAGTGAAATGATTATTACAGTCAAGCCAATTAATATAGCCATCATCTCACATAGTAGCCCTTTTTTTTATGATAAGTACACCTAAAATCTACTCTTAGCAGATTTCCAGTACACAGCTCGATATTATGAAGTAGGGTCCTCATTCTGGACATCAGCTCTCTAGACCCATTCATCCTACATAACTGCAACTGTGCACTTTGACCTACATCTCCCCATTGCCCCTTGGTAACCAACATTCTATTCTCAAGTTTTGGCATGTTTTAAGATTCTACATACATGAGATACATGTATTTCATACATAAAATACAGTATTTGTCTTTCTGTGTCTAGCTTATTTCCTCTGGGTTCATCAGTGTTGTCACGAATGTCAGGATTTTCTTCCTTTTCAAGGCTGAGTAATAGTCCATTTGTACATACACACACACACACACACACACACACAGGCACACACATTTTCTTTATTCAGTCATCTGTCAATGGAAACTTTTGTTGTTTTGATATCTTGGTTATTGTGGATGATGCTGCTTTAGAAGCAAGTGAGGAGTAACTTGTAACCTTGCCACTGTTATCAATGTTGAAGCCTGTCCTGAGTTGGGGAAGGAAAGGCCCGAGGAAAAAAAGGAAAGATAGAATGGCCTCTCTGTGAGGTTTGGGGATCTGAGGAGCAGCTAAGAATGAAATTCTTCTCCCTGCCCCATCCCCGAGTTTTCTGAGCTGCAACTCCTGCAGGCATGCCTTGCAAGACATGTATTATAATTCTTGTTTTCCAGGCAAAAATTTGAAGACTCAAGGTATAATTGATTGATGATGGATAATGTACTTGTCCTCCTGCCAAATTGCTATTCCCAGCCAACCTCCTCCTAGTCTCAGAACCCTGATTTCTAAAGGATATCAGTTGGGCAGTGTTCGGGGGAGGATGAGCCCCTCCTCCAGCCCGTATAAGGGAATCTTGAATGGACTAAGCCAGGGGTCTCAACGCTGGCTGCTCATCAGAACCATCCCAGGACAGTTAAATCAGCCTCTCAAGGGATGAGGCTGCCCCTCAGTGGTTATATGAAGCTCCCCAGTGATTCCAATGTGCAGCCAAGGCTGGACATGGCCAATCTAAATTACTCATGATAATTTCCATTCTCATTAACATGGAGGGAAAATGTTCTGGGGGCTTCTGGGAAGGCAGAATTCCTTTTTTAAAAATAATAGACACATAATTTTGATGAAACAAGCTGTGCTGCTCCTGGATATGATGCCTGGAATTGAGGACACCATCCTCAGAACAAAAGCCAATGCACCATGGTTGGCAGAGAAAAAAAGAGGGAAAAGGCCTAGATATTTAGCAAATGAATTACCCAACCCTGGCACTGCCCTGCCCCTGGACTTTCTGTTAAGTGAGTTAATAAAGGTTGATTTGGCCAGTTTCAGCGACGTTTTTCATTACTTGAAGCTGAGAGCATCCTAAGTGATATGGTCATACAGAAAGTGGCAGAATCAAAAGTTAAGTCCAACCATAAAGCAGCCAACAGAAGCTAAGAGTCGGGAGAGGCCAACAGACCATCGGGAGGATATTTGGATCACATTATCAAATTTCTAGACAGATTTTAACTGTTGAAAGTGGATTGTTATGGATGAACTTAGAGAAAAATATGTTAAGTGAACTAAGCCAGGCACAAAAAGAGAAATGCCGCATGTCCTCACTCATAAATGGGAGCTAAAAAAAGAAAAAGAAAAAAAAGAAGAAAGAAAGGTACAACAATCACAATAATACACCGAATTTTCAAAAGGAGAGAACAGAACTGAGGTTACTAGAGACGGGAAAAAGGGAAGGGGGGTTAGAGAGAAATTGGCAAAGGGTTGCAAAAAGCAATTACATTGTTTACTATTGAATATGCTAATTATTCTGATTTGAGCATCACATATTGCACATAGGTTTTGATCTTCAATATGGATATGTACAATCAATTATGTTTCAATTAAAAAAAAGGAGG